TCCCGGGCACAACATATGCAGCCACATCGAATGGTTGGATGGAGGCAGACATATTTGTACGTTATTTTGGAAAAGCATCTTAGAGCAACTTGGCGATAAAAGACCAGTTTTAGTCATATACGATGGACACGTATCCCATGTTGACGAACGTGTGATAAAATTGGCAATAGACAATAACGTAACAATACTGAAGTTACCGCCGCATTCGAGCCATCTGTTACAACCATTAGATTTAACTGTATTTCGCTCTGTAAAGTCAAGATGGGACGTTATGTTAGCACAATGGCAAAGACAGAACCAGGGATATAAAATTGCGAAGAAACAGTTCAGTAAATTGGTTGGAAAAATTTGGACAGAAACAAGTCCGGAAATCATTTCCAATGGTTCTAAGAAGGGTGGAATCTTGCCATTTAATTCTCAAGTCATTCCTGAAGAAAGCTATGGATCCTATGGCACTAAAAAGATGGAAAGATGCATGAAGGAGGTGAACAGCAAACTGGGCCAAGCGCGTCTACTGTGCCAAGCACGTCTGCTGTACCAAGCACGTCTACTGTACAAAGCACGTCTACTGTACCAAGCACGTCTACTGTAGAGTCAGAAACAAATATGCTGGCAAGTGAATGTGCAGAACTGCTTTAAATACTGGACAATCTTTTGAAGAGCTGTTACTTTCTACTGTAAAACAGCACGTTAATACAGGTGTGAAACGCCGAAGAAAAGTAGCTAGTGGAGCAGAAATTATTACATCTTCAGAAGCTATGAAACGCTTGAACGAAAACAGCAATAAACCAACAGTTTAATCAAAAAAGGGTAGAACTTTCATAGAATCGGAGAGCCCATCGGACGAAGAAATAGTTTACAATGAGAGCGGTGATGATATAGAAGAAGAATTTAGAGAAGAAGGGTCACTTGCAAAATCTGTTGAAAAAATCGATAAAGATATATCCAGTATATCTGCCAAGGATTGGATTCTTGTAGTTTTTGAAACCAAAAAATCTCGACGTTATTACGTGGGAGAAGTAACATCGATTGACGACAGTCAAGACGTAGAAGTTAAATTTACCAGAAGAGTCCCTACTTTAAATCCTTCTGTTCCGAATATTTTTATCTGGGCAGATCTTGCAAGATATTGCAGTCGTTCCCAGAAACGACATCGTGATGTTACTTCCAACTCCAACTGTTGCGGAAAGAGGTCTTTATCGTTTTGGAGTTTCTTTTGCACATTACAATGTTTTCTAAATGATATATTTTTATAAGAAGAGTTTAATAAAAAGTTCACATAGCCTTAAGTATTTTTTTCTAAAAGAGTTTGATAGCAGCAAAATATATAAAAAAGTAGGCAGTTTTACACTCTTGCCCCAGACGGAAAAACATTTACTCTATATGGCTGCACACAACTGTATACAAACTTGCCCCATTATTGGGAGTAAGTGCGTAGTATGGGCATTGTTTTAAAAAAATAATTATAATACATTCTGGAAATATAATTTTATGATTTCTCAGCCGTCAAAATAGCAAAATAGTACCTTAACCCAGATGTGCCCAATGGCCTATATGTAGTACATCTGAAACTTGTCGATTCTTGTTGAAGGGAGTCTGTAAAAATCGATTTATTCGTTCGTTTTGGTCAGTATAGCGTTGTTCGGCTTAAGGTGCAGCAGCGTGTCGTAGTTCTCTGACAGATTGCTAGATTAGTTCGGGTCTAATTTCGGTATTTCGAGAAGATGGCTGAGTATGGCGTCAGGTTTGCAATGTAAGCTGTATTTTGATTATTTACATTGGACTGAATTTCATACAATGGAGGAAATTTTTACATATAAAGAAGCCAGAAAGTAAATATGTTTGAGGCAATAAATATTATTGCCTATCTTTTTCACAAATTTGGGATAAATATAACCGTCCTATATAAAGTACATTGGGCAAATGCGGTACTGCCACTTTTTTATACTACCCTGTCCTTAGTGGCTACGCATCTATGAAATAACATTATTTCGCTGCATATTTTGGTACTACAGGTTTTTTTTTGTTACAGAGGGTTTTCATTACATGAAGCCCTAGCTATGATAGAAGACGACGAAGTGGAGGCTGATACTATCACACTTTTTCCACCTAACAATGCTTCAGAAAATCTTACCGATGAAGATTCGGGCGAAGAAGACAATGTCGATATAAATAATTTACCAGCGTCTCAAATGCAGAGTGAAGTGGAAGTGTCTTCTAGATACCAAATAAATGATGGATGTGATATGGACTCAGAAGACGATATACCCCTAAGTCAATTGGCAGACGCAATCAAAGTAACACGTAAGCAGTCAAAGAAGAAAAAACACTATAACTATGTGAAAGAAGATTTACAAACAATAACTAGTGGTAGTAGGAACTTTTTGATCATGACCAATCTGAATGTTCTGCCTTCTCTCTCTTTAGTTTGTTTTTTGATGACGAGCTTTTTGAAAAGATTACAGACGAAACAAATCGGTATGCGTCACAAAAAAATCAAATGATGCGAGTAAGTGTTAGCGAAATGAAATGTTTTGTAGGGGTGCTTCTTTTGAGTGGTATTGTTCCTCTTCCACGACGCAGAATGTTCTGGGAACGTTCTAAAGATTGTCACAATGAGATTGTGGCTGAAGCGATATCGAGAAATAAATTTGAATTTATTTTGTCCCATATACATTTTCAGGACAATAGTTTCTTAGATAAATCTGATAAGTTTGCTAAGGTCAGACCACTTTTTAGTCACCTAAATCAGAAGTTTCTGAAACATGCACACTATGAAGAAGACCACAGTGTCGACAAGGCCATGATACCCTACACAGGAAGACATGGCTGCAAACAGTATATCCACGGTAAGCCCATACGTTATGGCTTCAAATTCTGGGTTGGGACTACCAGACAAGGATATATAAATTGGTTTGAGCCTTACCAAGGAGCGTCTACAAATATTAGCAAGACCTACAAAGATCTTGGGGTCGGAACAGCTGTTGTGCTGGAGTATGCGGACGTTCTTAGGTCAAAGTGGCCGAAACCGAGGTTTCATTTATTTTTTGACAATTTTTTTTCTTCTGTTGTGCTGGTAGAAAAACTAAATGAAAAGCAATTATTTGGAACTGGGACTATACGAGAAAATCGTGTTCCTGGTAGCACGTTATGTGACAGCAAAAATATGAAAAAACAAGAACGTGGCCAATATGATTATATGAAAATTGAAGACTGTAATATAGGTTTTGTCAAATGGAACGATAATAACATAGTCACGTTTTGTTCCAATGCAGTTGGTGTCAATCCTCTGCATTATGTGAAAAGATATTCACAAAAGGACAAAAAGTTCATTCAGGTAGAGCAGCCACATGTAGTCCATTTATATAATAGGAGCATGGGAGGGGTTGATCGTTCTGATCAAAACATAAGCCTCTATCGTACCGCTATAAGAGGAAAAAAGTGGTACTTCCTTCTCATAACTCACTGCATAGATATGGCAGTGCAGAATGCTTGGCAAATGCATAAAACATATGGCGGGACAATGGACCATTTAACTTTCAGAAAAGCTATTGCAAACATTATGTTAGTTCAAAACAAGAAAGGGTGTGTGTATCAAACAGAACATGCATCTCAATTCCAAAATTTGGAGTTGCGATATGACCGCCTGGACCACTGGGTAGTACCACAAGAAAAGCAAACAAGATGTGCAGCTTGTCATCAAAAAACAACAACTTGCTGTGAAAAATGTGATAAAGGGTTGCATGTCAAGTGTTTTTTCATGTATCATACTAAACCAAAATAATGTCAATGTAGCATAGCAAGTGTCCAATGTCCTATATATAGAACGCCTTCAAAAACAACTTTTTTGAATAAAAATGCAGTTTCCGAAGCCTGAGTTGTGTTTCTGTTCCCTATTAATGTCACTTAAATGCTAAACTATGAACAAATTGGAGTCACGACAACTTTGGGCATATCTGGGTTAATCATATTACTCAGATTGTGGAAACCTAAAACGTAAATCTGCTTTTAGAAACATATGATTCATGCGAACTTTCACAATTTTACTACACACTTACCCCACCTTACCTTATAGCTAATTCAGTCGACGTAAATAACCCTTATATTAACCCATACATCTTGAAAATAAAGCAGTTCATTCGTAAACTAAATGCCAAGAACCACAAAAGCCCATGTCGAAATTAGGATTAATGAGAGGGTTGATAGATTGGCCAAGGAAAGCATTACTTCTGGAGAAATCTTGGACCACCTTCTCCCCATATATTCATTTGCAAAAAAAAAAACAAACGAGAACTGATTGGGAAACAATATGGGAGAAATATAAAAACTCAAGAATAAATAGATATACAACCCGAAATCCCTAGATCCACCTGGTTGAGTAATTACAAATACAACAGAAAAACCTTAACGACACTGATAAGGATCAGCTTTGGACACGCATGTTACCCAGAGCATCTAAATCGGATTGGCGTACTGGACACTGACTTATGCACAAGATGTAATGAAATTGGAAATCTCGACCACTTATTCTTCGGTTAGAACAATAGGAATCAATCTCTGCGACTAATGAACAGAGTAACGGACTTCAATGTACCGACTCCTTTTAACCTCATACATCTATTATGCTTAAATAGAAAGGAGATCTACGACAGCCTGGCTGAATTTATCCATTCAATCAATGTAAACCTATAATCACCTCACATACCCTTGTTGCCTCCCTATTTGTTATATTCCTCCTCTTACCGTGGTCTACCTGTGCACGTATAAGAAGTCCGACCCCTGAAGTAGACTTCCAGTTTGGGAAAAACATGAATCCAAAATCAAACCGATGATCCATCATTCATACAATGCCTAGTGACTGGCTGCATGAACACCTAGTTCTAATGTCAAAAAAAAAAATGATCGAAACAGCGCAAAAATTAAAGCGTAGTGGTCTCAATGTTAGCTCAGAATGGATTGGTTCACTTCTATTGGCGGGATTGCCAGAAAGATTCACTCCAATGATAATGGCGAGTAAACACAGTGGAATAGATATAACGGCGGACGCCATTAAAGCCAAATTAATGGATATGCAGAAGGACAGTGGCGCGGTGGAGAAAACAGGCAGCGCTTTTGTCAGCAAAGGCAGTAGTGGCAGCAGTAAGTTTCGCAAAAATCACAAAGAGGATAGCAGTGGTAGCAGCACAGCCGGCAGAGCTGGGAAGAAGGTCGGTAAAGAAGTCGTCTGTTACGAGTGTAAATTACCTGGCCACTCCAGAAATAAGTGTCCTACTTTACGCAAGAAATTTGGAAATTTCGCAGACAAAAGGTGAAGAAAATAGAGCAGCGTTTACTGCGATTTTCTTAACCGGGAATTTTAATATATCGGAGTGGTACATTGATTCGGGTGCAAGTGCGCGTTTAACATCAGGGAACGATTGGTTGAATGACATCACCGAAGATATTGAGTTCCATGAAATTTTAGTGGCAAACGGCGAAAAATTGAGTGTTCTGTGTGCTGAAAAAATATGAAGTTGGAATAGAAAAGGTTTACTATCTCCCAAAGCTTCCCACCAATTTACTGTCGGTAAGCCAGTTAATCAAGAATAAAAATAAAGTATTTTTTGATGATGATGATGGTTGTCATATTACTAACAGATTTGGTACGTGTGTTGCAAGAGGTGAATTAATTGACTCCGTATACAGACTAGTTTTTATAAAAACATTTACACCACAGAAAACTCTTGCATCGTATACAGTGACGACCTTCGAATTATGGCATAGGCGATTTGGCCATGTCAAAGATAGAGACTTGCTTGTTATGAAAAATGGAGCGGTGGAAGGACTAGATTTCAAGGGCAGTTCACAGGTCGATGAACTCTGTGAGGTGTGTTGTCAGGGTAAACAGTCAAGACTGCCGTTTAAAAATAAAGGTAACAGGGCGACAGAACTACTCGAGATTGTGCATGGTGATTTATGCGGTCCTATGAAGTTATGTCAATAGGAGGATCCAGATATTTCTTGGCTCTTGATGACGACTTAAGCAAAATGGTGTTTGTTAATTTTTTAAAAAACAAAGGTGAAACACTGGAGGAGTTTAAAGAGTATAAGTCGTTTGTTGAAAATCAGAAAGGTATCAAAAACAAGTGCTTTAGAACAGATAATGGAGGCGAATTCTGTAGTTCTAGCTTTGAAAAGTTTTTAGAGACAAATGGGATCGTTCATCAAAAGACCACCTGTTACGCCAATGGTCATTTGGCGCGCGCGCTAATGTGTACACCATCACCAGCCACAACCACTGCGCAAGCGCTGCCTGGCAGTTTTGAATCTCAGCCAATAGGGACGGAGACGCGCAGACTTCGAAACGCCGAGGAAGAGACAACAAGTGTCGACACAGAACGCATCACAAAACGTTCAAGAAAAATTTGTATTGTCAATCATTTTTCTAATCAAATACAGTCCACTCTGTAAACTTCAATAAACTTCCTACAAGACTGGAACGGATGTGTCCTTGCCGTATATAACATTTGGTCCTACGAGCCCGATTGAAGTCAGAAAATCGCCTTGGCCGGCCTGAAGCACAGCGACCACGGGACCCACAACAAGCCGCCATCATTGGGAATCATCATCGAAGATCGTCACACTCACACAAAAGGTTGTGCGTTCCATATTTCACATTCCTGTCGTTTTTCCTTGAGCTCACACATTGTCGCTTAAGCATTATCGTATTTCACATTGTTTAGTTATTCCTCGAGCACTAAAATGTTCGCATTTGTCGCTAACGCTAGATTGTTTCGTTACGGCTTGGTTACCTACCTGAATTTACTCTCATTCTCGTTCTCGCTCACTCACGCAAAATGCCTAATGATAATTCTAAAAAACGTGCATCCATAAAGGGTACTCTTACTCGATTTCATTATTATTTCCATGCCGTCAGTCAAGAATCTAATCCAGATATCACAGAACTCGAATGTAGAGTAGCTTCTGTCGAATTGCTGTTAGACAATTTTAACAAAATTCAAGAAAAAATCGAAGATTCAGATGAAAATTTTGAATCAGTTCATTCAGTAGCGCGTGCTGAATTTGAAAATGCCTTTTACGAAATTATGTCAAAAATCAAGCAATTTTTGAAGATCATCGCCCATCGCTAGGAAACAATGCAGCTTTACATTCCCCTCCACAATTTGTACAGCCAGATTTGCAGGCTATCAGACTTCCGGCCTTGAATATCCCACATATTGATGGATCATACGATCAGTGGCTATTCTTCCGAGATACCTTTCGCTCTTTAATCCATAACAATGATGCCCTAAGCCCCATACAAAAGTTTCATTATCTGAGATTGTCACGAAAAGGTAGCGCTGCAGACACAATTAAGTCTCTCGAAATTTCAAATCAAAATTATAATGTAGCTTGTAACTTACTTGAGGAACACTTCGAAAATAAGCAACTTTTAAACTATCATCCTTGCTGTATGCAATCTACAGTTCAGACATCCCTACGACTCCACAAATGCAGCTGCATGTCTGTGCCGATGTCACAGCATATGCGGCAGATAGTACGAGACCCCGCATGGTTAGGGAATATCTGCGGACAACGACTACCAACCTAGAGGAGTGGTGCATCAAGTAGAAGATCCGGCCTCAACCCTGAGAAGAGCGAAGTGGTACTGTTCCGAAGAAATCGAAGATTACCCGAAACCAAAATAAAGATAACGACCACCAGAATGGAGAGAGGCTGGAGAAGAAACGAATATGTTAAGGTCGATTGGAAAGACTCCAGCACGTACCTTGCAGTCAAGATGGACCAAAAACTCACAAGGAAGAACCACGGAAGGGCCAGGTGCAGAAAGTGAAGATGGCACGCTCAAGATTAAGACCTTTAATAGGCAGAAGAAGCAAATTATCCTTAAAGAATAAGACCATCATGATTCAGATGGTGCTGCTTCAAATTATGACATAAGCAGCAATAGCTTGGGGCTACGTTGACAAAACGTGGATGCTGGACGCACCGTGGTACGTATCTAACACAGTGCTATAAGACGAACTCCGACAGGTACCGGTCGTAATCCAGATGAGAGAGAGGGCCCGAAAGTACTTTGAAAAGAACGGACGACAATGGAACCAGCTGATTAAGGATGCCCTGGATTACGACCCAAGAACAAAAAGGCGACATAAAAAATCGAAAATCCAGCTGCAACAAGAAGATAATTGGCCCTAGCAGCTGATGAGGCCAAAGAAAAAGGGAGAAGACCGACAATATTTGTACGCTCAAGAGGGGAAAAAACAGCCCGTGTACAAGGGTGGACAAAAAGAAGCCTGTCGATTAAGGTGGCCAGAGTCAAGCACGAATTCGAGGCTAACCTCAGGAGACGAAGACAAACTGCAAACTGACTGGCTGACGACTGACTGACTCCAGTCGACGTGGAAAGAGCGAAGGCTCAACAACCTTAATGCGTGGAGTGTGTGTGTGTGTGTGTGTGTGTGTGTGTGTGTGTGTGTGTGTGTGTGTGTGTGTGTGTGTGTGTGTGTGTGCGTGTGTGCGTGTGTGTGTGTGTGTGTGCGTGTGCGTGTAAGTGTGTGTGTGCGTGTGTACTGTTCTCAGAGGGCCGACTACCAATTCAACAATTCAATCACGCGGTGAGAGAAGATCCTCCCTTCCTTACGAGGACGTTGTGCTAGGAGCTGTCGAAGAAGACCCGAGTACTTCAGTTCGTGCAATAGGATTAAGAACAGGTTTGCCCACAAGTACAACACTTTCTGCCCCGGGATTATGAGCCCCGAGTTGCTTTTTTGTCACATAATGTTAGAAAGACAGAAAACTTTATGGTAGGATTTTTTAAAAATCATTTACAAAATTTATTGGAGGACGTGTCAATCAGTATTTACAGGGACATGTGATTGCAGCATGATAACGACTCGGCACGCTCAGCTAGAGAGTATCTCGATGAAAGCTTTCCATGCAGATCGATAGGGCGGTCTGGTACAGTACCGTGGCCAGCCCGGTCACCTATTTTAATCCTTTAGATTTTTTCAACTGGGGAACTGTACAAGAAAACGTGTATTTCAAGCCGATTGGGAATGTAGCTGAGCTACGGCAAAGACTGATGGAATCAGTTGAATTTGTTACTAACCATATAACCCGATCTTTTTTAAGAAGGTATCGAGCGTGTATTGCGGCTGAAGGAAAACAGTTTGAGCATTTGCTGTAAATGTAAGTCATCATCAGCAGTCCTTAGACGCCCACTATTGTGCAACCAGTTAACCTGAAGTGTCCTTGTCCGTTTTAATGGTTGCTGTTTAATTAAAGCATTTTGAACAATTGTCATCAATTTAATTAATAGATACTGACATCCAAATAATAGAATGCATATTTAAAGATTTGAAACAGTTCTAATTAAGAAAGTCAATACAGTTTGTAGATGACCTTGGACTATCTGAAAACAAACTTTCTGCCTCTCTCACCCTTAGTAACATACGCCTCGGGAAACTAAAATGATTCTAATATTTATTTAACTCATTCAAGTAAAAACTGGTTAACAACTAGGTTTTTCTTTAAATAAAAACTGCACCAACTTAGAAGATTACTTGTCAAACTCTCGTGTCAGTTAAAGCTGGGCAAAGTTCTAATTTGGAATACGTGGTTGGAAAAAAGTGTCAATTTCCTCTGTACTAGAAAATTTGGCAGTAAAGTTGAGACACCAGTTTAAAGATGTACTATTCGTCATTGTAAAAATAAAATCCCGAAAAAGTTAATATTTGTATTAACAGGAGTTAACAGACTGCCGTAGGGTGCGAAATTTCTAGTTTTTTTTAAATACCTATAATTTTTAAAACACATACCTAAGATTTTTTTTAATATTTTTCTACCTATTATGACTTTGCGTATCACCCGGTTTCGGCTTGACATTGACTTCTGCGTCACCCTGTATATTATAACAACTTTGTTTTTTTTAATGAAATCAGTTAGTAAAATATGTTACAACTGCAAAAAAAACGACATACAAAAAAAAGGTGAAAATCGAAAATTCCGAGTGTCCCTAATTGTATCTATTCATACATGACATTTGAGGGCACATTTCTACAGTGGTCATTATACAGTGTGTCCCAATTCCGACCTACATATCAAAGTTGTGATTTTTCAAATGGAATGCCTCAAATTTTATTACAAGCTTGGATAAACCAATTCAAGATAAGAAAATTGATGTGACATACTGTGGGGTTTTGGTAATTAGCTACTGAGATATAAGGTGTTTTGTCTAGAAAAACACCCCAATTCTGCAACCCCTCAGTCCGCCATTTTGACATTTGGAGTGCCGAATTTTGAATAAAAA